AATAAAACGCATTCCGAAAAGGTTTTGCATGCTGATTAATTCGCCGATATTTATATCCACCTTACTAACCATGTTTTTCACGGGGTCGAAATTGCAACGATTTTATTGAATGCACAAAGTTGCGGCCAGATTGCGCGTGCACTTGCCGTTGCGAAGTCGCTTGGTTTTTCTCATGACTAACGCGCATCGCCTTATGGAAGGCAGTTTTGGGTAGCCTGGTTCCCAGAGCGCATCGTTCGAGAGGAGCGTAGACCCGTCCCCCCACGTCCAGCTTACTCCATTATAACTCAGATCAACCCAAGCCTCTGCACGATAGAAAAATTATTTGAGTAAAAATAAGTGGAATCTTCAGATCAACCCATGCAAGCCTCAGAGCGAAAAAATAGAGTTAGTGAAAAACCTGGGAAAACTTCAGATCAAAGACTCCTAAAGTTCTTGTAGGCCATGAAATTTTTGCTCGAGTTGACGATATTTAAAAACAAAATCGAATATAAATGTTAAAAAAAATTAGGTGTTCTTTGATAAACTTACTAGCAACGGTCGTAAAGAACTTATAGGCATCAAGGTTGTCTCTGGAGTCGAGGAGTTTCAAGAGGTTTCTGGAGCACCTTGTTTTGGCTTCGCTTTGTATGGTGTGGAGAGAGCTGTAGGCGTAGCAACTGTCCAGGGGACTGTACGGGACTACGTTCAAGCCATCCACTTGTCCTGTGGTGAAATATAGATACAAATACAAAATAATCCTATTGGTACATCCCATATAGTCCTATAGGAAAATATTTGGTAAAATGAGTTGAATGGAGATCTTGGAGATATGGATTTTAGGACGAGTTGAATGCTGGATAAGTATAAGAGGGAAGTCGTAGAAGGATATAAGAGTTAAAGAAGTAAGAAGTTAAGAGCACAGTGCAGTGCTACATCTGTTATGAAATATTTTGTGTCAGATTTCCTGTAGGTATGTCATGGAAATTGAAAGAAATATGGCTCATATGCAATTCCCGAAAGTGGTCGACATAAACCGGAATTAATGCTAGGCTAGGTAAGGTAAATATCAGAAAGTGTTTTCTAAAATCGAATTCAAAATTTGAAATCGATTAAAGAACGTGTTCTAAATTTGATGTAACAAAACGTTTTTTCCACGGTACATCTCATGATTATAGTTTGACAGAAGCTGTTCCCTAATGCAAGTTTTGTCGAAGACCTTAGAATAACATAAAATAATGCTTACTCGAAACATTATGGAAATAAAATGAAATTCCTCTTGGAAATATTAATTTAGTACTTCCAAATCCAACTCAAATTCTAATTCGTGAAATTAGAAATATTGTTAATGATTCTTATTCACTAATTTTCTAGAAAACTAGCATTATTGGCTGAGTTTACATTGATAAATGTAATAAAAGATAAAAACTCATAGCGAGATGTTATTTGAAATAAATTTTATTATGAGTTTCATGAAATGTATGAAACAAAACAGCAGAGACAAACATTGACCTGCAGTAGGGTAAGACGGCAAACTCGATGGGGATCCGGCGTAGGATTCATCGGCGCAGTTCTTTACATAGAGGGTGAACGTCGAGCTACTGCAGAGCGGTACATCATAAGTAACAGTGGTATCCGTTGTCACTGGGTATTGAATGCTGACGTCATTCACGCTGATTTCAAAGCAGTACGCGCCAGGGCACGTGGCGGTGAAGTGAACATCGAAGGATTGGTGCAGATTTACGTTATCTACAGTGAATGAAGTGATATCTGAAACTGAAACAAATAATTTTCGGTTAGCATACAATATTGTTTTAAATTATTCAATGACATTCATGTACATCTTAAACGAAACACATAAGGCACGTGCACTCTACAGCAATTGCTTGATTAGTGTGGGCGAAGTTATACCCTGAACGATAATGACATGAACGATTATATGCACTGTAGGAAATGTAATGCTGAGATTTGACTCTGTCGAATGTTTTTTCATGAAAAGAAAGCAAATAAGGAATTTTTCTAGTATTGTTGAGACATTTTGAAAAGCATAACCAAAAACTGATGGAAAAACATGGAGTTATTTGGCTTCTTGCGATTTTCAAGATCATGTTGTATTTTTGCCGAAATTTTTATGCAATTTTTTATTCTGAAAGAAATTTGCGGTTCAATGGAATGATAACACGTGGTTATCAGTGAAACTTCGAGCAATGATCATACAGTCCAATGCCAGAAAACGAATTTCTACCATTTTCAAGTGCTAATTGATAATAATAATAACCAGTTGTTAGAGGCAGGCTACCATAACGTATATTTTAACAGTAGTCAAGTCTATTCCCTTGTCTCCAACGCTGTAATTACCAAGTATTTTACAACGACACAAATTATCGTATCGACAAAGAACTTCAGGCCGACACAAATTATCGTAGTGACCAGGAGCTCTACATTGACACCAATTACTGCAGAAAGCACGTAATTAAGGGGACCGGCTACCCTCCGGAAAAACTTCTACAGTTATTATCCGATCATCATGAAACTTCACATACATACGTAAAATGTAAAAAAATAACATTTTGCTCATATGAATTTTTCGAAAAAATTGATAGAAAACGTCAAATTCATAGAAAACGGCCAAAAACGGGTACTTTAGAAAATCTATCTCCTACAAATATCGTCCTACAACATCGAGACACGTATCATTCGATTCGTAAAGACCATACCTATCGATTCAAACATGGGTTTTTTTCATTTTCCCCGTGTTTTTTTTTATGCGAGTTTTTCCAATTTTTTCACTTTTTCCCTTCTCCCCCATATAAAAAACGAACCAGACAGAAATTTAAAAAAGTGATGTTCAAATCGATAGGTATGGTCTTTACGAATCGAATGGTATATGTCTCATTGCTGTAGCTTTAAAACTCTAGGAGATAGGTTTTCCGTGAGAGCAGTAGGAGGTTTACAACACGCTCAAAAACTGCCGCGTTGGACGTAAATGGACGTAAAAGAGTCTTAACGTAGCCTAGATACCGTAATTAAGCCTCAAACCAAGTCAGCGAGGCATAGAGCGACTGGCAGCATACATCCCACCTCGCTGTCTTGATGGGCACTGAGTACAAAGAAATTTAACAGGCCGTCAGTTACCGTACAGACAAAGAACTTACGACGCACACAATAACTGTCATGACGGAGAAATTTACGACGCTGTCACTTACCGTAGCGGCAAAAAATTATGCCGTCCTCAGTTGACGTTTTGACGAAAATTATAACGAACTTTACAATTAATTTATTGTCGAAGAAATTAATGGCGCCATCAGTTACCGTTGCGTGAAAAAATTTTACGACGACGCCAATTGCGATTACAAAAAAAAATCGTAAGCTTGTCAATTAAAGTAGCGGCGAAGCTCTTCATTACGCGGTCAATTACCATAGTGGCAAAGATCTTTCCGACGACGTCAAGTACTAGTGTTGAAAAATACTACACGACAACGTAACAGACGTGCTTCCATTTTAAAGCCGTTAACTATTTACAGCTATTCATACCTTGGTCATATAATATTTGCATTCATGGATTTAGTGTTATTCTCTCCATTTAGCAACTAGTATAATAGTATAGTATAGTATAGTATAGTATCTTCGGCATTAGAGAATAGGCCTGGATAGACCTGTCGCCGATTCTTGTGCTTTTCTTAACTAGACTGGCCTTTTGATCAGATCTTTTCAACGGACGGTAGATTTAAAATCGATTCTAGATATCAGTTGTTCCGTAGGATACGAGGCATTTTAAGACTAAGACCTCCTCTTTAAGACCTCCTCTTGCATGGCCTTGTCTAGTCTGTTCTAGAACGCGTTCATACTCGGAGCGTCAACAATATCTTCAGGGAGGCTGTTCCACATGTCAGTGAGTCGAAGCGAGAAGAAATTTTGTCGCGTGGATAAGTTGCACCGCAGTTTTTTTAGTTTATAGCTGTGGCCCCTGGTGTTGGTTCTTGTTTCAAATTCTAGTAATCCTTCTGGGACCTNAATTTTAAGACACAAATTATCGTATCGACAAAAAACTTCAGGCCGACATGATTTATCGTAGTGACCAAGAGCTTTACATTGACACCAATTACTGCAGAAAACATGAAACCATACGCCTTTAGTTATATACGTAGCGATGAAAAGCTTCACAATGACGCGAATTGCCGCAGAAACAAAGAGCCTAATGGCGACGTAGATTACCGTATTGGCAAACAACTTCGGCAAGCTTTCTATTTCCGTATCAACGTGCGCTTCAAACGCTGAAATTTTTCGTATTGGCGAAAAAATTTGCGACGTAAGTCATTACCGATAAGACCATGAACTTAATGAGTACGCAAATTATCGTAGTGACAAAGAACTTCACAATGACGTCGTTTACAGAAGCGACAAAGAGCTTCACGACACTGAAAATTGCCTCGTTGACAAAGAAATTTGACAGGCCGTCAGTTACCGTACAGACAAAGAACTTAGGACGCACACAATAACTGCCATGATGGAGAAATTTACGACGCAGTCAGTTGCCGTAGCGGCGAGGGAATTTATGCCATCTTCAGTTGAAGTAGCGACGAAAATAATCATGACCCTTACAATTACTTTATCGTCGAAAAAATTCACTGAGCCATCACTTACCGTTGCGTAAAAAAAATTTCACGACGACGCCAATTGCGGTTACAAAAAAAAATTCGAAAGCCTGTCAATTGATGTAGCGGCGAAGCCCTTCATGACGCCGTGAATTCCTATAGTGGCAAATAACTTTACGACGACGTCAAGTACTAGTGTTGAAAAACACTACACGACAACGTAACTGACGTGCTTCCAACTTTAAGCCGTTAACTATTTACAGCTAATCATACCTTGGTCATATAATATACGCATTCACGGATTTAGTGTTATTCTCACCATTAAGCAAATAGAAAAAAATTGACATGTTGGATAAACTTTTAATGACAAATTTAGATGCAAAAGAAGTTACAATTACATAATTTATCATAAATAACTAATGCTACCTGGATCTGTGATGTACGGCAAGTCCCTGGAGTATCCGGCGTCGGAGTCATCGGCGCAGTTCTTGGCATGGAGGGTGAACGTCAAGTCAGTGCAGGGCGGTACATCATAAGTAACTGTGGTATCCGTTGTCACTGGGTATTGAATGCTGACGTCATTCGCGCTGATTTCATAGCAGTACGCGTCAGGGCACTCGGCGGTGAAGTGGACGTCGAATGATTGGTGCAGATTTACGTTATCCACAGTGAACGAAGTAATATCCGGAACTGAAACAAATAAGTTTCGGATATCAAACAATATTGTTTTAAATTATTCAATGACATTCATGTACATCTTAAATGAAACACTTAAGGCACATGCACTCTACAACACTTGTTTGATTATTGTGGGCGAAGTTGTACGCTGAACGATAATGACATGAACGATTATATGCACTATAGCAAAGGTAGTGCTGAGATTTGACTCGTTCGAATATTTTTCATGAAAAGATGGCAAATAATAAATATATCAACATTATCATTAAACTTTAAAAACTATAACGAAAAACTGATGGAAAATATGGAGTTATTCATCTTCTTGTAATTTTTAAGTTCGTGTTGTATTTTTGACGAAATTTATATGCAATTTTGCATCCTGAGAGGAGTTTGCGATTAAATAGAATGATAATACGTGGCAATTTTCCTTGAAGAAAGTTGTCTTCACTAAAACTTCGAGCAATGATCATACAGTTCAATGCCAAAAAACGAATTTCTACCATTTTCAAGTGCTAAATCGGTATTAATAATAACCAGTTGTTAGAGGCAGGCTACCATAACGTACATTTTAACAGTAGTCAAGTCTATTCACTTGTCTCCAACGCTGTAATTACCAAGTATTTTACAACGACACAAATTATCGTATCGACAAAGAACTTCAGGTCGACACAAATTATCGTAGTGACCAGGAGCTCTACACTGACACCAATTACTGCAGAAAGCACGTAATTAACTTCACGGCAACATCAGTGACCGAAGCGACAAATAATTTCCAGACGCCTTAAGTTACGGAGCGATGAAGAGCTTCACACTGCCGCGAATTGCCGCAGCATCAAAGAGCTTAATGGCGACGTCGATTACCGTATTGGTGAGCAACCTCGGCACGCTTTCTATTTCCGTATCAACGTGCGCTTCCAACGCTGAAAATTATCGTATTGGCGAAGAAATTTGTGCCGTAAGTAATTACCGAAATGACAAAAAACTTATAATGTGTATGCAAATTATCGTAGTGACAATGAACTTCACAATGACGTCCCTCATTGACAAAGAAATTTAACAGGCCGTCAGTTACCGTACAGACAAAGAACTTACGACGCACACAATAACTGTCATGACGGAGAAATTTACGACGCTGTCAATTACCGTAGTGGCAAAAAATTATGCCGTCCTCAGTTGACGTTTTGACGAAATTTATATTGAACTTTACAATTAATTTATCGTCGAAGAAATTAATGGCGCCATCAGTTACCGTTGCGTAAAAAAATATTACGACGACGCCAATTGCGGTTACAAAAAAAACTCGTAAGCTTGTCAATTGAAGTAGCGGCGAAGCTCTTCATTTAACTATTTGCAGCTATTCATACCTTGGTCATATAATATCTGCATTCATGGATTTAGTGTTATTCTCTCCATTTAGCAAATGGAAGAAAATTGACATGTATGATAAACTTTTAATGACAAAATTAGATGAAAATGAAGTTGCAATTGCATAATTTATCATAGATAGCGAATGCTACCTGGATCTGTGATGTACGGCAAGTCCGTTGAGCATCCGGCGTCGGTTTCATCGGCGCAGTTCTTGAAATAGAGGGTGAACGTCAAGTCAGTGCAGGGCGGTACATCATAAGTAACTGTGGTATCCGTTGTCACTGGGTATTGAATGCTGAGGTCATTCACGCTGATTCCATAACAGTATGCGTCAGGGCACACGGCGGTGAAGTGAACATCGAAGGATTGGTGCAGATTTACGTTGTCTACAGTGAACGAAGTAATATCCGGAACTGAAACAGATAATTTTCGGTTATCAAACAATTTTGTTTTAAATTGATCAATGACATTCATGTACATCTTATATGAGACACATAAGGCACGTGCACTCTACAGCAATTGTTTGATTAGTGTGGGCGAAGTTATACCCTGAACGATGATAACATGAACGATTATATGCACTATAGGAAACGTAATGCTGAGATTCGACTCGTTCGAATATTTTTCATGAAGAGAAAGCAAATAATAAATTCGTGTTCTATTATTAACACATTTTACAAACTGTAACTAAAAACCGATGGAAAAACATGGAGTTATTGCTCTTCTTGTGATTTTCAAGTTCATGGTGTATTTTTGCCGAAAGTTTTATGCAATTTTACATCCTGAGAGGAATTTACGATTCAATAGAATGATTACACGTGGAAAAACTAAAACTTCGAGTAATGAACATACAATCCAACGCCAAAAAACGAATTTCTACCATTTCACCCCTATTTTATTACCACGTTTTTCTTAGCTCGCTTCCGTGTCCCTCTGTCTGTCTGTGATGATCAAATCTTGCAATCGATATTTCACCAACTTTCCCGCTAGCTAGCACTCTGAAACTTTTAGGGAAGCTCAGCTCCCGATAACAATACAATAATCAACAATTTGTTGCACGTTTCCAGGCGTATTTATTACCGAACCTTCCTTTATTACAGCCACGCACCCAGATAAATACGGGAACAACAATGTATCCCCTCGAATACAATTTTCTACAGAACTTC